AAGAAGAAATGCTCTCCTCAGTCTGGATTTGGTTTAATAGTGTTATATCTACTGAGGCAGCAAACATCAACAGAAGATTACTCCTGTCAAACAGGATATGCTGTTTTACAGTGTGAACAGATTTTTAAGGGATTGGTCATCTACAATTCTGGCAAGCTTGCTGTTAGGGCTGGAGGGAAAAAAGAGGGTTTTCTTCTTCTAATAACTGCTATTTTTGAGTAGTACATTCAGAATTCATTTCCTATAAACCAGAGCTGTAGTGCTAGTTGTGTATTAATAGATAAACTGCTTGTAATGCTTCAGTTGGTTGTGTTCTTTGTCATGAAAAGTGGAAAACCTTTTCAAGGAATTTAAACTAAAATTATTTGCTATATCTGCATTTGTAGAAAAACATAGGTAGCAGTATTTTCTAAAGTGCTTCTTTACTTATCAGTTACCTTTTTAACTGTATTTTGTAGAGGCATTGTTTCCTAACACTTCATGGACTAGTAGATAGTTTCTGATGTAAAAAACCCAACATGTGCTGTGTTTAAACAAACAGCACTTGCTTTGACAAATACAGTGAAGTGATGTAAGTGCAAAATCCACCATTTTTAAAACATGGGCTTCTGCTGGTTTATTACTGCAACTTTACATCCTTTAAAAGTAGTTTGCTTCAATTCCAAGAACAGGGATTAAATAATACAAATAAAACATGTAATTTAATGGAGCTATTGCCTATTTACCCTGAAATAAAACAGTCTTATGATTGAACTGGTGCAAAAATCCCTCCAAACACCTTTGTTTTATTGGCAAAGTCATTTAAGGTCACTTTTGCTTCCAAGACCATCTTCTTCCATGGTTTCCACTGAAGGAGTTTTGCTTTGTAATGGCTTGTGGTTCCACAGTGATTTGTAAATGAAAAGCCTAATATGAATAACTCTACTGTAGTCACTAAACTGCAGGTACTGCCATGAGAAAGTCCAAAACTTAGTGTTTTTTTTTTCCTAATTCTCAGCAAGACACAAAATTCCAGTCTAGTTAAAACGTATTCTTTGAATGCCATTTTAAACGGCAGTAAAAGGCTGCTGTGCCTTCTGGATGGAGAGCTCGCACGACGCCGTGTGCGCTTGGGCATGGGTATCGTACTTCAAATGTACCCAAAGTACCGCGTAGAAGAGCGCCCGCAGGCACAGCCGTTTGGATCAGCTACTCCTATGAATGCAGTGCAGTAGGTTTGAATCGGCGCCGAGGGAACCCCGGCTGGGTGGCACGTAGCGAACGTGAGGCTTGTCTGTTCTCAGAAGGCATGACACGAAGCGGCCCAAACAGCGAAAGGCAGAAGCAGCATCTGCGACGTTGTTCTCGTTCTGTCAAGTAGTAGTTCCCAGGGAAAGGCTTAT